GTATATGATCATTAAATACTATTATTGATGGTTTAGTTTTGTATATAATCTTCTTGACAAATTCTACCTTTGTTGATAGGCTACATACTTCTTACTATAGAATTTTTTCATTAAAAAGGTATATATCAAAAGTAAAATCTTAAAAAAATAAAAATATAATACTATTACTATAAAATAGAATACACCTTTTTAAGATCTAAATTTAAAATTCTTAAAAGTTATAGTATTGTAGAATTTTTTATAATTTTTAGGTTTTCATTTCATTCAAATTACATAAAAGAATTACCTTTTGTCTAGTAAGTCCTATTACTTTTGGAGATTTGTGCCTTTTAAGAAAGGTTTGAAATAAGATTGTTTGTCATTATTATTAGTGAAAAGAATAATTGACTGCAATTAGGATGCAAGGTATTGTGCAAGCCTCTTTTTGCATCCACTATAAGTATGTATTAAAGGTGTTGACATTTTATGGTGATTTGTTTTTGGTCTTCAACATCTTTAATTGATTTTTTATACATATTTTTTAAAATCTAAGCTCTATAAGTGCATTGCCAAATTGTATGGTTGTATGATAAACCACACTTAGTTTAATATTTGCATTACTAGTTGTTTCATATAATGTACAAAAGCTATATACAAAATAAAAATTTGAGTTAGTTACAAAGTCTAGCAAGACTATTTTTATGTGCCAAAATATTTTACAATTATTATAATACATAGTTGGATGGTTTTTTTGATTTAATATAGATTGATTCATATAAAGTACAAAAGCTATATACAAAATAAAAATTTGAGTTAGTTATAAAGTCTAGCAAGGCTATTTTTATATACCAAAATATTTTACAATTCTCATGGTGCATAGTTAGATGGCTTTTTTGATGTTATATAGATTGATTCATATAATGTACAAAAGCTATATACAAAATAAAAATTTGGGTTAGTTACAAAGTCTGGCAAGACTATTTTTATGTGCCAAAATATTTTACAATTGTTATGGTGTATAGTTGGATGGTTTTTTGATGTTATATAGATTGATTGAGATTGTATCCTTTGTACTTTCATGTTTAGTTTGAAAATTGTATTTAATCAAGATTCCTTGTCCACCATTATTTTTTGAATAGAGGTACATCTTTAAATAAAAAAAATCTTTAAGCAATTTTTTTTATTAAAACATTCTTTGGCAATGTTTTATTACAATTAATTGCAAAAAAAATGATTGAGTAGGATATATTAGATTTATTTTCTTTCTTGGAAGAAATTGAACTTATCAAGAAACATATTTAAAATAAATAAATATAAAAAAATTTAAATAAAATTTTAAAATTAATTAGGACGACCTATATTTGATTATAAAATATAGAAAAATGCTTCATTTATATGCACCAAAATAATCAAAGAAATCCTATTTTTTAAAAATAATTAATAATAATGACTTTATGATTTTAATTTCATAAAAATTCAATTTTTGTAAGAAATATCAATAAATTAATAACTTTAATTATTAAAATTTTAATAATTGAGTTTAAGCTTAGACTACTATATATCAATAAATCAAATTTTATAGAATAATAAAATAAAAGATTTAATCAATATTGATAGGATTATTTGTATATAGTCTTTTTTATTTTAAAAAAAGTCCACTCATATTTACAATAATTAGCTTTTGTATGGTTTATGGTCCACTTGGATCTCAAAATATGCAAGCTCTATGCATGATGGATGGAATATGTCAAAAAAAATTATCCAAAAGAATATTCAGATGTAACATCAATTATATTGCAGACAATTAAGATGTTCTTCCATATAATTCTATTCTTTGTAGAAAATAATATTATCATATCAGCATTGAAGTTTATAACTTAGTTCACATTTTGAAACATATTTATAAGTATATCTATTAAAGGCATGATTATACAACAATATAGATTAGAAATAAAGAAGATGAAGTCAAGCAATATATTGATGCATTATATATTGGAGCTTTAAAGGTAATATAATATCTTTTTGAAATGAATATGCATGAAAAAGTTCAAAATGTAATTTGATATACATTGGATCTTTCTTGAATGCATTCATTTTTTTTTTTATCTAAATGATGATGCAATTAAAGCCTAAATCCATGAAAAACGGCAAAAAATAACTTTAATAATACTTTTAGAAATGTTTGAATTTATAGAGATTTCTAGGTAATACAAATATGAAGAATTTTTATAGCATTTTTTGTGGAGCAAGACCTCTAAGAAGTGGATAGTAAGAAAATATGGATTTGTAATTATAAGTTTATATTTTGCTATTCTTATTGCAAAAAAAAGATTCTATCTTTATTTTTCTTATAATACTAATAAGTAATATATATTTATTTATAGATTTGTAAATTGTAAATAATGCACTCTAACCAAAATTTAAAGGTCAATGCTTAGAAATGGAACTATTGAAGGATGACAAAGAGTGGAATCAATGCTTGGAAGAAATCTTCCTAACAAAAATAGAGAAGCAATTAAGAACATTTAATGCGGTTATTCTTCTTTAGTATTCACATGCACATTTCAAAAAAATATGAGGAAAGTTTTATAATGATATGGATTTTCAATTGACTTAAGATCATGGAATTGAAATACATACAAAAAAAAATATTAGATCATATACTATTTTTTCTTAATTAAATTCGTATTAATTTGCTATCAATATTATAGTACAAAAAGAACTAGATTGAGAATACTACAAATTATATACATGAAGAATATATGGTATGAAATTGTAACAAGCTAAAACAAATAGTAGAAGAATGTATGCCAAAGTTAAATGATAAATAATGCATTGTATATTTAAATATCTCTACTTTAGCAAATAACAATCTTAAAAGTTTGTATTTTTTAGAAAGACCAACATGAAGTAAAAAAAAATTACAATATAACAACAATGAATTTTTCAAGTGATAGAAATATTATTAAATGTCTTGCTTCTACTAAAATCATAATACAAATTTTAAGTGATAAATAGATTACACATTCTATATTTAAACTTTTATTTTTTCTTAGTAAAGATTTATTTTACAATATTATAGAGAATGCACCATATATAAATGCACTAAGAAAGACTATTTTTATTATTTAAAACGAAGTACCAATGCAATATTTTCATTGTGCCAAAGCAATTCATAGAACTCTCTAAGACACAAACAACATTGTCAAGTTATTTAGCAAATTTAATGTAATTTTTAGTGAAGATTTTTAGCAAAATTTTCATGTTTTTGTTAATGGTTCAAGAATGGAGATTGTAGATACTTCTTTGCAACAATCAAAGATTTGGTCTCATACTAAAGTGTACAAGTTGATCTAAAATATTTATTTGGGAGGTAAATCTAATGAAAATCAATTATTTTCTATAAAATTCTTAAAAGTATATATATATATATATATATATATATATATATATATATATTTTAAAGAATTTTTTCATGATATATTTTTATGTTTAATATATCTAAGTATAGTTTTCATTTGTAGATTGGAAATAGATTACCAATTACAAATCCATTGAAAAATAGGAGAATTCTTCTAAAATGTATAAAAGTAGGTTTGACAATAATTGATTTGATTCAAGTTATATCTTTGGAATTGGATGAAAATGGGACACTTGGAGATAAATATTTTATCCACATAACAATTTTATGTGCATAAAGTTATGATGTGAATGATATAGATAGTTGTACTAGAAAAATATTTCTTAGAGTTGCATTTGTTTATTTCAATACAAATCTAGTAGTTATTAAAGATAGTATCAATAATAGCAATTATTTTCTAATGGAATATTTGAATAGCTTAAATCCATGTGGATTTCCATTATTTAACTTGGAATTGAAGATAAGATGTCTAATGATGTTGTTGCAAAACATTGCTTATTATCAACAACTTTGTAATGGATAATATTTAGTCATTAGAAAACTAATTGATCAAGTTATACTAATAAGAGTATGATTTAGAAATTACAAGAGATAGTTGGCTTTTCTTCCAAAGCTCATATTATATCAATTATGTATAGAGATTTTATTCGAATTATAGCAATGGTAGTTTTTGATAAAGATGGCATTTGCAATGACCAATAAGAAATCTCAAAGACAATCATTAAAGAATGTAGGAATAGATATTAGAACCACTATATTTGTAAATGAACAATTGTATGTTGTTCTTTCATGATGCACTAGTCCAAATATGGTTAAGATTATGTATTTTAAAAATAATAAAGATTGAAACACCATTGTAAATAGAATTTTTCTCAAAACCTCTTTAACTTAGCTATTTAAGTTGTTGTAGTAAATAAGAATTGAATTTGCCAATAACATTGATGAAACATAATTGGTTCTATTGTTTTATATATATATATATATATATATATATATATAATTCTCTTGTTCAACTTTTCTTTAGGAGTGATCGATTGTTGACTTAGTAACTAAAAATTAAAAGTTAACTTTTTTTTGTCCAATGGCATGGATTTTCTCTAATTTATATATATATATATATATATATATATATATATATATATTTTCTTCCAATTGAAAATTTAATCAAAATCATTGAGTAGAAGTTGTTTTTGTTTTTATTTATTATTTATTATATTTTAAAATAAATTAATCTCTTGAATTCATCATCTTTTTTTGTTTTTGCATAACAAGTCAAACAAGATACACTTTTACTTCTTACAAATAAAAATTGTCCAAAAATATTTTTTATTTCTATATTCAACCAAAGTTTCAGCATGGAATCCTTACCACATCTATTCCACATCTTCTAACACAGAATTAAAAGGACGTTGGGATGGCTTCAACAGAAGCGGGTGCAACAAATAGGCCTCAGAATGCGATCCTACATCAGCAGCGGATGTTTATCCGACGTGGAATACGGCAAAGGTAGGCGGTGCCAAGCTGGCAGGAGGACATTGACCGAAAGACGCATGTGTGGAAAGGGAAGAGGAGTAAGGGGTTTTGGGAAACCTTAAGGTTTGAGTTAGAGACCTCAGAAGAGAAGAGAAGGCAGTGGGACAAGCGGCGGCTGTGAGAAGAGGAGAGCCGCTTCTGCCCTGGTGCTGCCATCGTAGGCGGCGTCCCCCTCCCAACTCGATCGTCTGTGGAATTTTTCACTTGTTGCTCACGAGCACAGATTTTGAAACCCGCACACAAAGTGTCCGGGCGCACAATTCGACAAGAGGTTCACCGTTGGAAATTTTGTTCAAGGACGGGCAGGGGGTGCGCGGACTGACAATTTGGGGTTGATCAGGGTGCGTGGAAAAGCTTAAAGGACTTGGAGAAATAACACTCGGCTGTAACGAGGTTGCCCAAGCATTGAATGGAATTGTTGTGCTCCGTCTTGCACGTTATGCACCTTCAGTAGAACGCATGTCAAGAGGTGTATCACAATTATGCTCGTTTACTTTTCGGAGCATGGTTCTAGGTTTAGTCATTTCATCGCATTCACACCTTAGAAGGTGTTTGGACCTGCTCAATTTTTGGTGCGTTTGAGTGTTAGAACTCATTGAAGATTCGCTGGTGGTTCAGAGAGGAGAACGAAATCCTGACAATCAAGAGAGATAGATTGTCTTTGTAGGTTTTCCAGTTTTTGGAGATGGCGTCCAAGCAGCCGCGCCCGCTGAAAAGTCTGAATAAGGGTCCTGGCTCCAAGCGCTTTGTGGTACGGGTTTGGGAATTGATTATCACAATCTTCTTCCCCTGTTTGAATTGCATCGTGCTTAAACCCTAAATCCTAAGCGTTATATTTCATTTAATTTTTTGGTCTTGTGTGTTGTTGCGCTCTAATACTGCTGCTAAGTTGCGTGGTTTCACGAATAATGTGCTTTGCAGTTCAAGAACTTTGCGACTCGCGTGGAGGAAGTAGATGTGGACGTGTTTCGCAGTCTTGCACCAGTGAAGTTTCAGCCTACCGCAGGCTCTTCTTTTTTTCACGAAAACCTTGTACAATGGAGGGTAAGTGGTACCTTTCTAAATAGTGGCTTCACTTTGTATGATTTCATGATTAAAATATATGACTCATTCAAATCAATATTTTGCGAATTACAAGGCTCTTAGTCTTTTAGTATCCTGCATCGTATGATCGAAGCTGCCGTACTCTGACTGTGAGATGTTTAACCTTTAGTCTCAACGTGGGGATTCAGGAATTAAACAGTGCTGCAGACTTCAACGACGTCTATCAGCAGCTGCTGCCTGTGGTGCAAACGCTACCACAACTTTTATTCCACAAGGAGACTGTGATGGAGTGTTTATTATCCCGCGTTCACATGAGTGCCGCCCTTTCCTTGGAACCGATAATGAGGTGAGTGAATCGATGGACAAAACTTGGGTCTCATTTTTGCAGATTGACTCGTAAGCGAGGACTCGCTATGCTGTTCGATTTCCTACAATACCAAGTTTCCGTTGTGAAATACTCCTGAACATTTAGATCGATAATGCTAGTGTGTTGCTGAATACGAATGGATGTTTTGTTGTTTTTGCAGTTTAATTGCGCTGTTATCTCGCGACTTAAGGGAAGAATTTGTACCGTAAGTATTGTGTGAATCCTTCAAGCACGTGAATGACGTTAGTTGGCTGTTTTGTAGAGATTTGCTTTACTTTCTTTTTCCTAAATTTATTGCATTTTTATCAATTCAGTTAAATAGAAGCGTTTTCTAAGATAGTGAAAGTGGGCAGAGATTCTGCTCCACAGGTTTTCTTTTGCAGAATATGATGGTACTTTGAGAGTGACATCACAAGCTGTTTTTAATTTTGCAGATACATTCCTCGCTTATTGGACGCATGTGTATGCGTGCTGAAAGAGGGGGCAGATCGTGATCCAGATCTTATTGAACAGGTATTTGCTTCTTCAACATCACCTTCTTATTCGTTTACAGTCTTTTAGGAAAAGAAGAGCTTGAAATGGGCATATTCTAACGTAGAAATTCGTTAGCTTTTTCCTTCAAGGGTGAGAATTGGGCTTTCGTTTCTGCTGTTCTTTTGCGGATCTTTCAATTGCATCATTAGTTTGTTTTGAATTTTTTGCTTCTCAAAATAATCTGCATCTTTAATTTTGGAGGTCAACATATCTAGACGTATGTTTCTTTGCCCGCTGTCGTTGTTCATGTCTACATCTTAGCCTTGTGGAACCATTTTGTATTTTTTTTATTTAGTCCACTTTGGTGTTCTGTGTGTTAAACAGGTTTTTACGTCAATTTCCTATGTCATCAAATATCTGAGCAAGCTTCTCACAAATGATATCCCGTCTTGCTTGAAGTGAGCATTTTTTTGATTCCGCATATTCTGTACAGTTCCTTCACCAATTTCTTTTGATTTTTGAGAATAGTCTTGCTGACATCACTTCCTTTAACTTTGTTTTCATCTTTGGTTGTAACAGGATGACTAGAGGGCTGCGTTATTATCCTAAATCCTATGTGCAGGAATTTGCAGCGGAGGCAGTTTCATTTTTGCTCCGAAATGCCTCCATGAAGCAATTAATCAAAGGTATTTCTCGAAGGACAGTACTGATGAGTCATGTTAAGGATTTGTTTCTCGTATCAATTTTGAGTCATTCGGATCTCTCCTCAAAGAAGTTGGTGGTGAACCATGCAGTTGCTAATTTGGAGAACATTAGTGGAACTTGCAGCGTGCTAACTTATTTTCCCGTCTATGAATCTGTAGGTGTTCGTAAGATTGTTGCAGAAGCTGAAGCAGATCCTATTGAGGAAAAGATTTCAGGATGCGCCGCTCTTTTCTGTTATACGCTAAAGGGTCCTTCCTCTGGTCTACACTCTCGTGCGGAGCCTCTGTTGAGACTGCTGCTCGATCGCTCTGTTCTGTCTGGTGTGACCAAAAAAAATTCAGGTATTAACGTTTTTATAAGATCGTTTCGTATTGCATTAGAAAGGGCATTTCATGCATGTACTTAGTTTTTGGATATGATCGCAGAACTCATGTTCCTTATTTTCGTCTTTTCCTGTAAGCGTCGCAATGAGGCTTGTATGTATTTCTTTTTCTTGCAGAAACCTTGGACACTTGTACCTGCTGACTCTTTTACTCCTGATTGCATAGTTATATACTTTCACTTTCAATCGGCGTCAACTAATGTAATTTTTTCTTGTTTCTCATTGGAAATCAGAGGGGAGATCTGTTGCTCTAAAAGTGGTGTCGGAAACTCTGAGCCGCATCATAGAGGATGTGCGCAGGGAAAAACTAGATCTTCTCTGGACCTGCCTTCACGAAGAAATAGTGCAGGAATTAGATAAAATGTCCTTTCTCAATCAGGACGCTTCTCAATCATCACATTCCGGCTTAGTTAACGGGGGTGGTGATCACATTGAAAAATCATCTTATAATGGTGGGAAATCTAATGTTATTGGTGCGCACGACAATATCGATGAGTTGCACCTGACTTCGTGTTTGTCCCTGCTGAATGGTGTTCTCGAGTATCGAAAAGGAAGTCGTGTTAATGGTGAGTGCAATTCATGGGGAATGTTTTCGTGATGAGGAAATTGGCTTTTGTTGAACGCATTGACTAGAAATAATTGTAAGATGCACATGAGGCTTGTATGTACTGAAGCTATGATATATAATATCACTTTGATGTTAGTTTTAATTTGCGAATTCATGTTTGTGCACTACTTTAGATCCGTATGCTCCTGAGTGGAACATCGCCATGTTTAGGAAATGCACAGCAATTTAAATTGCAGACTGGCAGGAAAAAACTTCTTGTTAACTTTGCCTGCGGCGGATTTATCAATATTGTTGCGTTTTGTGGAAATGCAGACTACAAGCCTCTTTTTGGTCTCGCAACAAGGTTTTTGCAGCCTTACTTTCTCCTTGTAGACAAGGAAGCCACATCAGAAATTGTAATAGTAGCTGACTCATCAGTAGCACTCTGTTCTGAGGTTCTCCGATTATTACTGGCTTTAATCAAGAGCCATGGACGACAAGCAGGTGCCAGCTTTGGACCAGCAACTATAGCTAAGACTGCGCCGACATGGGCTTTGGCATTTACATGTCAGAAGAGTACTAGGTATGGTTTTATACATTAGTTTTTAAATTTGTGTTGTTGGAATCATATCTTTTTGGTAGTTTGATTATTTGTTTGTTTGTTTGTTTGTTCAATGTTTCTGTCAGTTGTGACTTTCTAGAATCGCCTGATTGCTGCTTTACGTGCTGAATAAAAAATCTTAGATGACCAGAAGTTAAATTGTCGAACAAGGATACTTGAATGAAGAACATTCAACTCCAGTGTGGTGGAATATATTGAACAGACAGCTTTGGTTTCATTCTTCGTCGTGTGTAGTTTGTTCTGTATTTGCCTTGATAAGAAGCTTTTGTATGAAGGACCTCAAGTGTTTGTGTCCCCTGTTACCATATCTCGGCTATTTGGGCGTTAACAGGATGTTATCTCTTTGGAGTTTAATGCCATTTTTAATAACTGTTTCAATCGGTTTGTGACAAATTCAGTATTCTACCTTTCTTACGAGGCGTTATCGAGCAGGACTTCGACTTGTTGCGTCCATTTGTTCCCTATATTTTGAGGTTTGTCATTGTAATCCTTCGATATTCCTTGTGTATGTATTGGTTTAAATGCTTTTTCTACTTCTCTTATTCCACGGTTGTTAGTTATTTGTTTTCATGCTCATTTTATTGATTCTCGCTCTCCATGTTCTCATCCTTATTTTCTAAGATATCTTACAGTCATCTTCTTGCCACTCATTCCATCCAATGCGTACACCAAAATTCCAACATAAAGCCTCTGCATGAAATCTCCTTGTGTTTTGTGAAAGTGATACAAATGTAAAGAAATTTTATACCTTGTCGTTGTAAAGTTCACATTCATGTCTTGAAATCTGGAGATTAACATTCAGAGTGTTAAATGGTGTGCAATTTCTTTGCATTGTAATCCGGAATTATAATAAAAGAAAGTTAATTTTGACATGTTACGAACTTGCACATGTATGTGTATATATGCTTCTAATACATTTTTTTTCTTCAGGGCTCTTTCTGGGTTGATACAAAGGAACACCTCAACAGCACTTCCTATGGTGCTAGATTTGTGCCAGAAGATGGATCCGTCAGGGAATCACCCATTCTTATTGACGCATCTGCCGGATAGCACGAACTTGATAAACTTTGTCACTAGGCTAATCGAAGATTCGATAGCTTCGCTGAGGGCTTCTTTGCCGAATGGCCGAAAAATATCGAAGTTCGAGGACTTTCTGAAGCTCGAGCCTGCTTTGATGTGGGTGGCACTTAATTGTTTCCCTTACATTGTGGGTTCAGGCGATGACCACTTGGGACGAGCCTGGGAGTTTGCGGTGGCTATTGAGGACTATATAACCGCGTTTGATAAAGGTATGTAACTTACTTTGTTGCTTGGTTGTACTTATTGAGGATACGCTTATCTATAAATTTTATTTTTCAACTTGCTCAAGAACTTCGAAAGTTAATTACATAATTCAAATCTAATTAGAATATCCATATCTAAATAATGACTAGAGTTCTATACTGCTAGCTTGAGATTGTATACCTTGTCAATGTGAACACCGGGTGAGCTGAACTATTTGAGTCTGTAGAAAGGTCAAACAGTTGCCGAACTGGACCAACTGCCTTCACCTAAAAATCTGATTCGAGAAGGTCATGGATAAGATTGCTGGCAAACAGACCTGCTTACTTTAATTATGTATTGTAGGTGAGATAGAGGATTCTATGAGGACCGGTGGAGTCGCGAATAAGCTATTGGAGACTTTGCTTGGGGCAGCATTGTCTACACATACGAAATTGCTGCAGAGGACATCCAACAATATGAAAGAGTGTGCTAGTACATTTATTGCATTCGCAAATCGACACATGCAATCAGAACCCGTCTTGAAAGCGGTGGCTGATTATTTGGACGCTGCTTTTGGGTAATGACCTGTTGGGTCGCTTACTGTCTTGGATTTTGAGATGGAAATTGAGTGGGTTTTCATAGCTTTGTTATCTCAGGGATGGTTGTTGGAGATAGTCTTATGGAAGCATTTGGAAGTTCAGCTTGGATTTAAGTAATATTTTATGGTTCTCATTTGGCATGAAACTTGGAAATATTAAGTGTTTTTTTAAATCCCTTATTTTATTATATTTTTAGTAAAAATCACCTCCATCATTGAATTCTTTAGAAAGATGCTAATAGTCTTTCCATGTCTACTTTAGGATAAAATGTGAGGTTATGGAAGGCGTTGGTCATACAAGTATATTGCTCTGTAATGTACCTAAGCCAAACGATCCTAAATGTTTTTGGTGTCTCTAATAGGTCTCTACAAGCGGAAGATCAGGCCAGAGTATATCCTGCAGAACTCGGTACCTCGGCTGCACTGAAATTTTTCCCACTTGCAAGTGTGAATCTGGGATCTCCTGTTAAGGCAATTAGACTTGCAACACTGCGGGTCCTCAGTTACTTTGAGCCGCTTTCTAATTCGCATGAAGACGGCTCTCAGAACGATTCTAAACGACAAAAACGAAATGACGGTTTGTCGAAAGAGAATGGGAAGGGACAGACTAGTAAGGTAAATAAGTTACTACTTTAATTCTTTGTTGTTACAATTGGTAAGGCATTGAGGTCCTATAAATTTGATATGAACCTTTGTAACCTGATTACGCCCGTTCAAACTGAGCTGTACTTACTTTTGATTTGATATGACGATCGATTGATTAGTTAGCGACAGAATCTTACCGAGATCAGAAAGTTCATTACGTAAGATCGTACTCGTTCTGATCAATCATCCTTGGATGTTTTTGGTGCACAGCTGGTACAGCAGATGCTCTCTATAGAAGCGGCCCCCTTGGTGCTTGAAAGTTGCCGGCAAAGTAATCTGATAGTTGCTCACATCAAAGTAGATGTTTGTGCTGGTCGGGTTCCGGGAGCTTATGTAGTCCCACTTGTTCACATGATGGTTGGGATCTTGCGGAATCGATTTTCAGTGCTGTGGGATCCAGCTATGGAGTGTCTGGCTGCTTTGATCGATACCGTGGGTGTCACTGCTTGGGATGTTTTGACTGATTACTTGCAGCATTTTCAGAAAGATTTTTTATCACAGCCTGTTTTTGAATCAAGAAAAAGAGAGGATGTTAGGGAAGGCTGTGTTTGTCTTCCACATGGTATTACTAAACTACCCTTTTGTCTGGACTCCTTTACTTATTTATGTGATTTGAGATATTTTATATCCTGCTGCTACACATCAATTTAGAGTACAGGAAACCTTGACTTCAACTACAATTTGGTTTACCGTCTTTTTTCTGTATTTGAAGAATGTAAAATTATGTAGTTCTTATCATTAACTTCAATATTAGTTGCATTTGTCTGAGAGTTTACTTTTTTTTGGCTAATGGTGTTAAGATACAAATGTCATCTGTGATCTGTACTAAGGAAAATTCCATTTATTTGTAGCAGATGCCCACGCAAGACTGGACGCAAAATTATCTGAGACGACTGACAGTACAGACACTGGTACTCTTTTGTCTCTGGTCCTTCGGACCACTCAAAAACTACCGAAGTTTGCAGAAGCCAAATCAAGGCAGCTCCTTCCACTTTTTCTTGCATTTGTTGGTCATATTGATGAGGACAGGTTGTTATTCCTTCCCCTCCTTCAATTAATAGCTGGATACTATTTGATAAGTGTAAAATGTGTGTTTTTGTTCGTATTTTCATTGCTATGTCGAGCTGTGTGAAGTTTCAGTCGGTATGTCCACATAAGTCGAATCTTTATTTTAGGTACTCTTTGTGCCGTTAATGCTGAATGCAGTGGATCTTCTGAAACCACCAAGGGAGGAAGTGGCAAAGATTGGAAGAAAGCCCTGAAAGAGTGGCTGACATTGTTGAAAGATATGCGAAATGCTCGTGCATATTACAAAGGAGCAATAGTGAAGGGGATCTTATTGAATAGGTGCACCCTCTTTTTCGTTACTTTTATTTAGTTAAATACTTCTTTATATATTTAAAGGCATCTGTGGTGTAAACATGTTCTTGTTGGAACATGATAAAATCTTAATTATTTTCAGTGATTCTCGTACTAGTTGTTTAACTAACATTTGAAGTCCTCAGTGTTGTAAAGATCTTGTTTATTGATAAGGTGTTCGATTGTAACTAAACTTATGAAAGCTCACGGGAACAATAACAAGTGACGTTGATTTTAAAAAGATGATGTTTGAGTTCTATTGTAGAAGATGACGGTTAGTGCATAGAGCAGAAGTTTGTGTGTCTATATGACAGTTGAAAACCATAGTTTTTAGCAACACGAAAGGATGGATATCATTTGATTTTCACTAATGAAAGCAATTTCATGCTGTAGGATTCTCATGGACAATGATCCATCAATTCAGACGTTAAGTCTAGAATGTCTACTCAACTGGAAAGACAGCTATCTGACATCACATGTTATGCATCTGCAAAATCTCATCTCATACTCTTCTCTTCGAGAGGAGCTTACGACATGGGATATAAGAAGAGAATCTCATCAGGTGCAAGAAGAGCATCGGTCTGGGTTACTTGAAGTGGTTCTGCGCATTCTGTATCCCAAAATCATGAAACGCAGTGGCAAGTTTGCTGGAAAGGCAAGGCATCTGAGTTACCATTTGCTTTCTTTATTGGCCACTTCACTAATTCGAAAATTGCAATCTTGGCTTCTTCTATATTTTAAATAAGTTATGTTGATTGGCTTTCGTATCATGCGCAGACAGGAGCGGGTGTGCAAAGGAATGCTGTTCTTCAATTTTTGGCACAGTTAGAGACGGAGGAGCTGGCTCCTCTTTTCACTCTTTTGCTAAAGCCTTTGCAGACTTCATTTTCTGACGCCGCGTCCTTAATATCTGAGGGATCAACGCCCCAATGGGAGGCTGCAATTTTAAAAAGAGAGGTTACTTCTAAATTTATTGATTGGGTTGATGTTAGTGCTGTAGCAGCCCTGCAATACAAACGAAAGATGGGATTTTTACACATGGTTAAAGATTCCCTCGACATTTTTGATAGGGAAAGACTTGGACCTTATTTGCACGCGTTGCTGGGTCTAGTCTTTAAGTGCCTCGAAAGTACTTTGGGAGTGAGTGAAGAATCTTCTGAAATGGTTGAGAAAACAAGATCTGCAGACCAGATAATGGTAGATGGAATGGAATTGGACTCAGTGGAGAACAAAGCGGTCCAGGCGATTTCTGAGGCTAAATCTGCTCCAGCAAGTAATGCATCCATGCAGGTTGATGTTGGCACTGACGACACCAATACAGAGTCACCATCTGCTCTGACGGAAGTTGCTGACAAAATGGAGGATGCTGAAGACATAGATGCAGAAGATCTGAACGAAGACGAGGAGGAATTGGAGCAACCTTCGAAAACGAATGTTGGGGGTAGTCACGACTTGAGAACACTATGTTTGAAGATCATTGCGACAGTATTAACGAAATTTGAGGATTTCGACTACAATCTTGTGTATTGGGATATATTCTTTCAGTCGATTTCGCCTGCAATTCAAAAGTTCGCTGCGGAAAATCATTCGAGCACTGCTCCTGGGGCTGTCTTTTCCTGCCTTTTATCGATGGGAAAGAGTGTGCTCTTGGCACCTCTACTTGCCCGTGTTCCAACCCTTGTGCCGAATGTTGTTGCTGTATTCAGTTACAGAACCGCTACACCGGCTGTCATAACAGCAGTTGTCAGCTTTATTGAGGGCTTGTTGAATCTTGAAGAGGAAGATGGAGAAGATGGGCAGGAGGTTGTAAAAAAAGTATTGTTGCCTCATCTACAGGTTTTGCTTGCCAGAGTTCATGATCTTTTGTCGATCAGGCGGGAGAAACTCAAGTAAGAAATACACAACTTTTCTAAGCATATTCTTACTAAGTTTAATTGGACTCCCTTGTAATATCTAAGCTACAACTTTTTGTGTTGAGAAGCGAATTAGTTTTTCGCTGAGCCTTCAACTTTGTTACACATTGCATGCAAGTGCCACTTAAAAAACTTGTTTTGTGCATTCGCAGGGGAAAGTCGTCTGCTTTTTCTGTGAAACGTGAACTAAGAATATTGAGCCGACTTAGTCATTATGTCAAAGATAAGGAGGAGGCAAGGAACTTAGTGGATGTGTTACTTCCTTTCTTGAAGATAAAGAAGCGGATGGATCAAGGTAATAATAGAGAGCTCATATACACATTTACGTGTTTATTCTCTTCATTGTATTTCCTCCTGTCCTTTGTTTTGTTTTGTTTTGTTTTGTTTGTTTGTCTGTTCGTTTTTCTCTTCTTTTTTTGGATTTTTGGTTTTTGTGTTCCCGCTTGTTGTGAAAACTACAGATCATTTTTTTTTTTTTTTTTTTTTTTTTTTTTTTTTTTTTTTTTTTCTCATGTATATCTCATTTTCTTGGACTCCACTTGATGTCTCATCTATCACCTTATTGTTTGCGGGTGCAGATGTCTTGAAGGAGGTTCTCCATGTCCTTAGTGGTCTGGCACCAGCATTGGACGTTCAGAGTATCGATAAATGTCTTCCAGCTCTGGCGCTTCTTCTAGCTTCAGTTTCGATGCAAGGGAATCGAATTGCAATTTGTCAAAGTCTTGAAGAGTTTTCTCGTGTTGATTCCTCCCTTCTACCAGTGGTATGTGATGCCAACTATTCCTGTTTTGTTGAAATATCAGATGAACGCCGAATTTTATTAATGTTTATTTTAATTTTTTTTATGTTGCGATGGTTCTGTGCAACAATTTGTTATTCTTTTATTCCACATAACGTGTGTTGGTACATGGCCTGCATATACTGTCGTTCAGGTTTATTACAGTGATTTTGGTATGACTGGGAGAACTAATTTTCTTTGTTTTACCACTGTATGGATTTGTGTTCTTAATCTATTTTGTTCCTAAATTAATTTAAACTTCAGCTCACCCATTCTAGTTTTCGTACAGGCGGAGTTATTAGTTGACTTGAATGCCATGTCAACTACAACTATGGAAGAATTTGACTATGATCGGCGACTACAAGCTTATGAGCGAATGGATTCATCGTTTTTTTCTCATTTCAATAGATCAACGGGTCTGCTTGTTCTATCACAAGCAGTTTTCGACATGGGGTCTGAGGACATGTCTCTCAGACACAGTTCTTCGAGCTGTTTGCAGTCGTTCGTCAAGTTCGCGTCCTCTTTACCGGAGGAAAAGTCCGCTGACGACTTGCAAGATGATAAAGTAGATGAATTGTGCGAGGACGCGGGAATCTCTCATGATGTTGCTGATGGTGAACTGGCTAGCGAACCGGTGGAGGGTAGCTTTGATGTTTCTGAAGTCCTTACTAAGGGGGGGACAGGATCAGTCAAGTCACTGGTACAAAGGTTTCTACTTCCACATGTTCGTAATTCGATGGGATCTGAACTACTCGTTGTGAGAAGGGTAAGTTGTTCAAGTGCTAATTAGAATGAAAGGACAAATGCTAATCTTTTATGTTATGCTGGTGACAAAGTTGTTTCAAGTCTCCATCCAAGTTCTATCAGCTGAAGAAAGAGTTAGGAGGATAAAGATCACGTTCGGAATTTATTCATATTAGAAGAATGGTGATAAACAGCTGGTCAATTTCAAATAATCCTGTAATTTAATTTTTTGTTACCGCTGCAGGAATGGGTTACTTTACTACGTGTAATGGCTCTGAGCTTTTCAAAAATTCCAGCCCTGAGCGAATATCAAGGCCTTGTGAACACAGATCCAGAAGTTGACTTCTTTTACAACATAGTCCATCTACAGGTATCACGTTTACTTATTCTACCTACTTTCTTCTTTTAACAATTCTTTAACCATTGGGAACATCCTATAATGAGTTCGTGTTGGTTTTGTGATTGACATTTGTTTGACATTGCTTCTTCTGTTGGTCCATACAGATTCACAGAAGAATCAAGGCAATGGCAAAATTCAGGACCTTGTGTGCTGCTGGAAATTTCTCTCAGGTAAATAGGGTTGGCTTGTGGTGATGTATTCATCTATTTGCTGAAACACAGTATTTTCTGTAGTTCTATGGTTTAATAATATCTTACAATGTGTATCCAAATGTCTACTAAAAACATTTTTGGCGTGATCAGGGAGCCCTCTTGAGGATTTTTGTACCTTTGTTTATGAATTCTATATTCGAGGCAAAAGGTGACAAGGAGGGAAACCTTGCGGGAGCTGCTATCGAAACTATAGCATGCATAGCCAGCCAACTCACCTGGGAGCCTTATTTTGGATTGCTGATGCGGTCATTCAGGTTCCTTACTTCAAAAGCGGAACATCAGAAAGTTTTGGTGCGATTGGTGTGTTCAACTCTTGATGCTTTTCACTTTTTTGAGTCGAGAGCAGAAGACAGTATGTGTGAGGACACAAGGGATGATGCGAACAACGGCACCACACAAGCGTTACCAGTTGAGATAGAAAATCTTCTTCGCAAGCGTGTTTTGCCTGAATTTAATAAGGTAATGGTTTCAAAAATGGACATCGTCAATTCTTCAGTGGCTCTTGCGCTGGTGAAAATTCTGAAGCTTATGCCAGAAGAGGTAGTAGAGGTTGAGTTGCCACGTATACTGCAAAGTATTACAAATTTGCTTAAGAACCGAAACAGCCAGGCAGTGAGGGATGAGGCTCGTTCTGCACTAGTCTCAGTGGCTGCCACTCTAGGCCCACGTTATTTGCACTTCATTGTAGGTGTTCTGAAGGCTTCACTTACGAAGGGATTCGAGGTTCATGTACTGGGTTACACTCTGAATGCAATCCTAGTAAAGGTTGTAGAAACAGTGAAAGTAGGGGAGTTTGATTATTGTGTACCGCTACTATTGGAATTACTGGAGAATGATATCATGGGTGAAGTAGCGGAAGAGAAAAATGTGGAAGCTATTGCAATCAAGATGAAAGAGACGAGGCACATGCGATCCTTCGATGGCATGAAACTGATTGCGCAATTCAGCACTTTCCCATCTGTAGTTCCCACTTTGCTGGGCCCGGTTAGGAGAAATTTACCGAAAACGTTTTCCCCAAAGAATCGCGTGAAGGTTGAGAATATGTTGAAGCACATTGCCCTTGGTTTGCAATCTAATTCTTCGGTCAGGCAAGATGCTCTTTTTGTTCTGGTCCACGGGCTACTGGAAGATGGCTTAAAGGAGGAGAATGCTGTAGCTTTATCGCTGGCTGCCAAGAAGCAGGAAAAACTAGAAGGAAAGGGATCTGGAAGGCTGACGAAGATGGTTGCTGCAAAATCAGCAGAATTAAATTACAGTAAAGATAAGGATGCGAACAATAATGCTACCACTACCGGAACCGGAATTCCAAATGCACATCTGCTCACAGAATTCGCTCTGCAGTTGTTCTACACTCACTTGAAGAAAGTAAAGATCAGTTTTCAAGATCAGCTGACGTTGTCAATGCTCGATCCTTTAGTGGATCTATTCTTTAGATTTTTGACTTCGAAATATGACGGCGTCTTGTCGGGGGTGATGAAGTGTCTAAGTATACTCGTTAAGTTGCCTTTGCCCTCTGTGGACAAATGTGGAGCCAAAATGTCAAAGCTAGTGTTCAACATGGCTCAGCAATCTGGAAGGACTGATACTCCGGTTATGCAGGCTTGCTTCCAGCTTCTTATCACTCTTATTCGGCATTGCAAGACTGCAAAGATAACAGATGAGCAGCTTCGGTCGCTACTAAGCTTTCCTGTGTTTACTGACTTGGAAAGTACTACTGGGAGTACAGCTTTGGCTCTTTTGAAGGCTGTTGTGAGTCGCAAGCTTCTTATTCCTGAGCTGTGTGACATGATGACCCGTGTTTCCGGAGTGATGGTACAGAGTCAACTCCCCGCTGTTCGACAGGTCTGCAGCCAGATTTTTCTTCAGTTCTTGCTTGACTATCCACTTGGAGCTAAGCGTCTGCAGCAGCATCTTGGCTTCCTCTTAACAAATTTAGGGTAAGAGGACGAATCCTCTAAAAATCATTGTCATTTGTAGTTTGCTATCGTTAGTTTTTAGACTTGGATCCATCTTTCGTTTCATCTAATGCTAGTTATTTGAATCAGGAAATTGCGTATGGTTGTAGTCATGAGTTCAATGGTCTTAGAACACAGCAACGATCTCTGTTTGCTAAGTCTACTATGATGATCTTTGGGGCTTTTCAGTATTACTATTTTCATCAGTATGTTCAAAATGATTCTGATTCATGCTGTACACCAATCCTACAGGTATGAGCATGAAAGTGGTCGAGAGGCGGCTTTAGAAATGCTTCATACGATAATTATGAAATTTCCGGAGGCAGTCGTTGAAGAACATGCTGATACAATTTTCTTACCACTAGTGACAAGGCTGGTGAATGATCAATCAAACCATGTCCGAACCATGGTGGGAACAGTGTTGAAGGTGCTCATGAACAGGGTTGGTCCTCATGCTCTGCAGAGAATGGTGGACTTTTCACTCAAATGGTATAAGGGTGAAAATTTTCGACTTTGGCGACCTGCCGCACAGGTAAGAGTCCGGGTCTATGATATCTTAACAATTATGATTATGAGAATTTGATTTTATTCTTTAGCTAAACGCAAGGAGAAGGATGTTCATGATGACGAATATGTTTATTGTCTTACTAACTTTTTACGTGGTATTTATTATAAAAATACTGTATAGCAGCACTGCTCTTAATTATGCAACAAACTTTTTCTTGAAAATTTTCTTGTAAATTTGCTTATCAGTTACTTGGTGTTAGATACGCAGGCGCTACTCTTAGACATCTCGTTTCCGTATCTTTGTCTCTACGATAGTTAATTATTCATTTATTATTTTGTAGAGTTTTGTTGTATTTCATACAAAGTCGAAGACATGTCATTGCTCATTATCCACTTGTCTTTCTCTAGTACTTCGTTCGTTTCAAGCCTTTCATTGGCTCTACAATGAATGGAGCTCTGACCTCAGACTGGCATATGTTCTTGTAGGTACTGGGATTTTCGATTGAGGTAATGAAAGCAAAATTTAAGAATTACGTAGAAGAAGTTGTAGGAGCCACAATTAACATATTGATGAAATGTACCTCTGAAAGCGAAGAGAAGGAAGACGACCTTCCATATTGGCAAGAGGCTTATGCTTCATTGATCATGACGGAAAAGCTTCTGCAGCAATTTCCTCAATTCTGCTTCCATTTAAAGCTCCAGGTGAGTGTCTGATTCAGGTTTATTACATTTGGAAGACGTTTAGTGCCCTCCTTAATTTCATCTAAGAATGTCTGACCTGCAGTCTTGTTTCAGACTCTTTTGTCTTTAAATCTAAGTGCTATTGGTCGCTTGTGTTGTTTTTTCTCAGGATTTTTGGGAGTTAGTGTGCACTTTGTTACTGCACAAGCACTCTTGGATTCGACTTGTCTCTGGACGCTTGCTTGGATTATACTATGATTCATGTGGTCAGACCAATCATAAAAAGAGTAACTCGAAGGTAAGTTTTGAGAGGATTGTTTATTTCTATGTAATGTTCAATTTAGGTAACATGTGTGTGACTGTGTGTGTGTGCACACACGCACACGCCCGCGCGTGGACCTTCATGATCAAACAATATGAGAGTCATCTACTGTGGTGTTCCACATGCTGTTTGTCGTATAATCTCGCTGGTTCTTGGTTCGTTCAAATGTCGGTAGGTAGTTTCTATAGCGATTTTCTTGAAACAATGCATAGTTGGTATAGTGCCATATGTAATGTGCAAAATTGAGGTGTGAATTGAATTCGCTGACAAAATTCCTTATGATCACACACTTAATTTTGTTTTGTATTCTTTCGCCTGAACAGCTGCCGATGCTACATCCAAGTTGGCTCCTATTCGTTGCTGGATCCCTTTGTGAGCAGCTTGACGCGGAAATAATGGATAGTGCTCTGGCGGAACAAGTTGTGAAAAATCTGCTCTATGTCTCATCCGCGTTTCCTCATTCGGAATCAGCCTACCATGTCAGTGAACCTAAAAGCCAAAGAAGAATCGAGGAAGCTAAGAAAATGCTTGGTGCGAAAGAGAGAGATTTGAAAAAGGAAGCACAAAACTTGGATTCTGACGATGGAGCAATAGGGGAGGATGATGAAGACTTGCCTACTAATGGAGCCCTAATGACAGAGGACCATGTAGACGGAAGTGGTGCATCTTGGGCTCTTACACTTCTTTTCAGAAGGCTTGAGAAGGTTGCCCTTCGTGTTCAGCCCATCCAGGTAAGGACAGCAAACACGCTTTGGATTTTCACAGCAGAAAACATGATATTATAAATCCCTTTTCGCTCACTGGTTCACTCCAACTTACCGTTAAGACGTTTGATATGGCTTGGCAGGCGAAGGCAGTTTTGCAGTGGTATGCCGCCATGGCTCCTCGGTTAGGAGTAGTTGGGGTTCAGCCCTATTTGCGATCCATTCTTGTGCCTCTTTTCAAAATTACTGAAGGATCTGCGGCGAAGCTTGTGCAAGGTATGGTACCTAAGTATAGTGACTGCAGGATCGTTCATCATTCGATTCCGTGTTCTTTTTTGCTTTTGATTGATATGCACGTCGCCAATGTTGGAATGGATTCAGTGTTACTATGTTCCAATCCCTCGTTGTGGTGTCTCTGACGAGCTTTACTAGTCGGACCGTTACATCTCTGTCACTACTTGCTCACTTCGAAGAATGTCATGTTTTGTGGGAGAGCAGTGGAGCTCAAGGCGTTGGGCGATGAAGTGCTAAGCGGCTTGCGAGAATTACTAGGAGTGAACGAATTTGTACAAGTGTACAACAACGTTCGTCAGCGGGTTAAAGATGTCCGCGAGAAACGTAAAAGAGCTCAAAAGCTCAATGTACTTGTGGATCCGGAGCGCAATGCTAAGCGCAAGATAAGGTTAAATCAGAAACGACAAGCACAGAAAAAACGGAAAATTATAGACTCCAAACGTCAGAGAGGTCTCTAGAGTATCAGTTTTTCAAAAAAGCCTTATTTTTTCACTACAATCCAACTCCTTGAGAATCATTTAATAGATTTGGTTTATGGCACTCACTGGTGTGAAAGCCAGCACTGGAGGATACCATTTCCGATCATTTTTGTACCCACAAGAGTAAGTTTTGTAGATAGATTTTAGTGATCAGACTTCTCAAGAAGTTACAATTTTGTAGAGTATTTAATTAGTACATTTGATGATTGAAAGTGTGAACTGGAGCTTTACTACTCAAACGAGTCTGGACAAGAGTTGCAACTGTCTACCGAGCTGAGTCTGAATCTTACCTCTTTAGTGTTTTCTTTGTGATGAGCGTCTAGGAACATTTAATCGATCTAATTGTTGTAGGTTGCCACTGTGATACTTCCAACTCTATTTTCACTTATGGTGTTGATCACCCAATTCAATGGCTAAGTGATTGGGACATGGGCGGATGTGACATTCAGAATAGCCCGTAAACGCAGCAATGATGCATGTGGCCAGTCAGGTTTGGTTCAGTTCATCAGGGTCTGTCGAACTTAAAATCCAGTGAAGAAAAACGCTTGATATAATTTAGAACCAGTTTATCCTTCATTAGTAAATTTGAATCATAATGTTTATTTTTATGTTTTTGAAGTTTATCTCTTAAAATCTGAAAATTCGGCTGTGTAGCTTTGACCCGTGTCTCATGTCAGTGACGATGTGTATGTAATCAACTCTTTATAAAATAAATTTTACTCTTATTTTAATTTTAAAGATAATCATTTAAACAAAATTTATTTAAGTCTATAATAGTGCAAAACTGTAGTAATAAATAGTATTATAACTTATAGTTATATAATAGAATGTTTATTTAACAAGACTAGTTATTCACTTTATATTTTAAAAAATACAACTTTTCATATGAGTTCTAAAGTACACTTTGAAATTTTTCTTATAACCATCTTACATATAAAATATTGCTATTTGTAAATATTACATTGGTGTGTATTCTTTTCATTTGTTTGTTCATTTGCTATATATGAATGTGTACTAATATATATATATATATATATATATATATTAGTAGAAATTCATGCCATTGGATACAAAAAAATTATAAAATTTAATTTCTAGTTGCTAAGACAACAATTAATTACTCCTAAATAAATGTTGACCAACAAAAAAACAAAAACATAAAAAAATAGTATACACATACCTATAGAACCATTTATGTTTCTTCAATGTTATTGGCAAATCCAATTCTTATTTACTACAACAACTTAGATAGATTTGTTAAATTTTTTTGTAATAAACTACATTCATGGTCTTTTTGTCTTCATTGTTTTCAAACAAAAGATCTTGATCATGTTTATAGAAGTGCTTCATGAAAGGGCAACATAAAAATTATAACCATTACCATTGTCAAAACTATCTTCTAAAACTACTATATCGATGTTGACATAAACACATGAAATTCTAAGAAATTTCTAAATATCTCTCTTATATTTATCATCAACATCATAATTTTGTACAAATAAATTTAACATGTTGGTGAAATTTTTATCTCAAAGTATTCCATTTTCATCTAATCCCATATAAACAATTTAAATCAAATCATTTGATATTGGACCTACTTTCATGTGTTTTAGAAGACTCATTCTACTTCTCAAAGGATCTGCAAGTGTTGGTCCATTTCCAATCTACAAATTGAAATCATTCTTAGATATGTTAAACATAAACAAAATATCATAAAAAAACTTTCAAAAGTAATAAACATGTATAATGCATATCTTCAATACATCTCCAATAAATATTTGATTCTCATTAAATTTACCTTTTAAACACATATTATATGTCAACTTGTATGCTTTTTTATGAGATCAAATCTTTAATTGTTGCAAGAAACATCAACAATCTCCTTTCTTGAACTTAAAAGAAAAACATAAAGAATTTGCCAAAAATCTCTATCAAAGACTATAGTAAATCCACAAAATAACATGTCAATTCTATTTGTGTTTTAGAGAGTTTTATGAACTATGTTTGTACAATGGCAATGTTGCATTACTACTTCATCCCAAATAATAAGAATTGTTTTTTTCAGCATATTTGTATATGATGCTTTCTTTGCAATATTATAAAATAAATTTTAACTAAGACAAAACAAAACTTTAAACATAAAGTGTGCACTGTATCTACCACTTAAAAGTTGTATTGCAATTTTAGAAGAAGCACCACACAAAACAATATTTCCATTACAAAGATCTTCATTGCTGTTATATTATAAATAAATGTTCTTTTACTTGCTACAAGTCCTTCTAAAAAATGAAAACTTCCAAAATTATTATCTACTAAAATAAAGATATCTAAATGTATATAATGTTGTTCATCATTTAATTAGAATATATATTCTTCTACTATTTGTTTTAATATGACATGATCTAATGTCATATGCTATGTAAACATACAATTTGTAGCATTCTCATTCTAATTCTTTTCTATACTTTGGTATTAATAAAAAAACAATAAGTATTTTTTTGGATTGTTAAAGAATATAATCAAGAAGAAATAGTCTATGATTTGATATCTTTTTTTTTTGTTGGTACCTCAACTCCATGATCTTGAGCCAAAAAATAATTCATGTCACGAAAAAAACTTTCTTTAAACTTATTCCATAGTTCATTTAGATGTACAAGTAAACATTAAAGAAGAATAATAAGAAACAATACTTATAAGTGTTTCTCTATTTTCATTTTGGAGGCTTCTTTTAAGTATTGATTTTTGTCTTTGTTATTCTTGAATAGTTCTATTTTTAAGCATACATACTTAAAATTTGGTTGGAGCTCTCTATTTGCAATTTATAGATCTTAAAATGAACATGGCTCATGTACCTTTGTCAAAAAAAGAAGATAGAATATCTCTTATAAAATATAACCTTATAATTGCTAATCAATGTGGTCTTACTATTAATTTGTTTGGAATCATGTCCCACATAAAATGCCATAGAAAATCTTACTACTTGTATTGCCATGTAATCTCTATTAATTCATGCATTTTTAAAGATGACATTAATAAACAAGACTTATAAATAATGCATTTTTAATTATCTTTTTCATCTTTACATTAAATTCATTGATAAAATCCTAAAAATTTGTAAAAATTCAAGTCCACACATATTAAGGAAATAAAAAAGAGAATACACATGCTTCTGCCAATTTATACAAATTTCCAACTTTGTCTAGCAAGTTTGAAAAATCATCATACATGTTATTCAATAATTCTTACTCTTTTTTTTTTTTTTTTTTTTTTTTTTTTTTTCCCTCAAGGGTCACCATTTACCTTCTCTATTCATTGCCAACACATATTGTCAATACAACTATCAGCTCATTATAAAATCAAATGAACATAGAAAATTACTATATAATTGATATTATATAATTTAAGATAATAATATTTTATAGATTCTCATACATTCCTTTGCTATGTAACATGGATCATAAAATAATTGCATTATCAATAGTTATAAGCATTCAAACATCATACTCTTCTTCCATCTCATTGTCCATGAAATAAATGAGAGCCAATGTGTCATAGCAAAAAAATGAACTAAATATTAAGAAAGACTTAAATAAATATGATATTTTCTAATAATAGATTTTATTTTCAAATATCTAATCATAAAGAAAAATAATCACAAAATAATTTAACAAACTTCCTAAATATAAAATAATTATAAAATTATTAAAAATATATATATTTTAGATTTTAAAAAAATAAATTCTTAAAAATACTTGAAAATAGATTCCAATCACTTAAAATTAAATTACACAATATTTTTAAGCTTCTATCATTTAAACAAGCTATTGAATTATGACAATATTGATAGTTAAAGTGCTTGAATTATTGAAATTAAAGCCTCTTAGAAATTTTAAAGAACTTACAGTAGACTTAGTAGTTGTTGTATTCAAAGAGCCTTCTTCAACTTTTCTTATAATTTATTCCAATTCATATGTAAGACTAGTAGTTATTACTTGATCTACAATAATGGATCCATGTCAATACACAAAAACATCAAAAAATAATAAGTAGATTTAAGATAAATTTTATGAAGAGTTGATTTGATTATTATTGAAATCCAACAAATTAAAACAGAAAATTTATTGAAATATTGCACAAATATATTTGTACATCCTATACTAGTAGCTAAGCCAATAATTGATAATTAAGGAATCAAATCATTTCTTCATTTTTGTAAGTATGTACTCCGTTGCCTTAAATGTTATAAAGAGGCATTTTTTTAAAGAATTGTAGTAAACTTAGTAGAGTGATAGGAGGTTAGTGTATGCCACAACAAAGCGTAATTACTATGGATTCATTTTTTTATTGCACCCAAGATTATTTGCAAGTTTTGCTTTTTAAATCAATCTATCTAAGTAGATACATTGCTCAAGATACATTTATTATGAATTAGATCAAATTTGAGCTTAGATTGAGCTTAGTATAGTCAAGTATTGATATATGACTCAACCACTAGGTAGTGGTGAATCTAACAATATACTTGCTATGTTTAGTATTTACACAAAATATTACAAAAAATGACATATTTTTGCAATATCTAACCTTAATCAATCACATCTATTGACTCATAAATTCCAATAAGTCCAATCTAGATCAAATATCAAAATAGGAGAAAAATATCAACTCTGCAAATTGTAAGATATATACACTACTATACTCAATTCATATACTAAACTCTATGTCTAAGACTTATACCTCTAAAATTAAGCATAAAAGATAGAAAGAGAGAAATGGTGCCAATAAATTTAAATCCGAAACAACAATAATAGCTCAATAGTAAGCTTCAATAGTAGCTTTGCTAAAAAAAGAAGAACATAATGTCACAAATAGATATAATTAATTAGAGAAGAAATATTAGGTAGAAGGTAAATGAAGGTAGATTTGATAATATCTTATGGAGAAGCTTGTAGAAGCTTTAAAGATGTAGATTTTCCTTTAGATGTGCTTCTTATAGATTTATAGGTTAGAAACTTGGCTAATAAATTAGATACATATTGTACATATTAGCAACTTATAATATAAGTTCGTTATATGGTGTACATAAAGACAAATTGCCTTACAATTTAGATACTTGTCTTGCACCTTAGATATGTCTTAGATATCTTATAGAATATTACAATATAGCTTTTAATTAAATAATATATATAGAGGCAAGAATAAAATCTTCTTCACTTTTATTAATACTTGTCTTATTCTTAATCTAGTTTTAAGAGTCTTTAATCTTTTTGT